TATTACTATCATTATTATTATTACTATTATTATTATTGTTATTGTTATTATTATTATCATCACTATTATTATTATTAATTATCATTATAATTATTATTATTATTATTATTAGTAGTAGTAGTAGTAGTAGTAGTAGCAGTAGTATCATTTATATTATTAATGTTTTTATTATTATTATTATTATTATTATCATCATCATGATCACTTTTATTATTATAATTATTATTATTATTATTATTATTATTATTATTATTATTATTATTATTATTATTATTATTATTATTATTATTATCATTATTAATATTAATATCATTTGGCCTACTATTATTATCGTTACTATTATTTTTATTATTATTTTGATCCCGAGATTTGGTCCACGTAGCTCTGGCGTGGGCGAGCGAGTCCAAGTCTCGGGCGGGATTCAAACCGGTTCTCGGATATCTCGAATAATAACCTTAATAATGATTGTAAGCTGTTCTAAGGTTTTAGTGTGCTGAGCGGAAATATAACATTTCCGTTGAGGTGCAGTTGCACTGAAGTTGCTTCTTATTTTTATTTCATTTTTTTTCTTTTTTTTTTTGGTGATTGTTTTGCTCTTTATTTGGTTTTTGCTGGGTGGGGGGGGGGTTGTTGTTGTTTTTTTTTGGGGGGGTTTATTGTTGTTTTTTTAACGAGCGTAAATTCAAAGACAAGTGCGGTTGGTTTGGGGCGGTACCCCAAGTTATCAACAGAAGAGATACTTGGATAACCTTTAACCTGTTGGGGTTCAGGGTTGAGAAGACTGCAGGAAACGGAAGGTTTTCATAACAGGAAGAGCCGGGGATAATTCTCCAGTAGCTGATAGCTCACATACTCCTTCACACCTCTGCCCACACCCAAGCAAACACTCACTCACTCACACATACTACTTCACACCTCAACACTCACCCACGCAAACACTCACCTACACAAACATACACCCACACCTCAGCTCACACCCACGCAAACAATCACTCACACATACTCCTTCACACCTCAGTACTCACCCACGCAAACACTCACGCGCTTGCATTAGGCGAGAGACACGATCCTTAGCCTTCCCATCCTACCCTAAACAGACAAACAAACAAACAAACAAACAGACAAACAATTACAAAGCAAGCAAACAAACAAACTAACAAAAAAAAACAAGCAAACTAACAAAAACAGACGGACAAACAAATTAAAAAACAGGCCAAAAAAAAGCAAAAAAACAAACATAAACACCCCCGCCACTTTCCAAACCCCCCATAATTAACAAAAACAACAATATAAATGTGAGGCGGCGTAGTGGAATCAGGCTCTCGTCAATTTTTGGGCATGTAGAGTTATTGGTATCAGCTTGTTCACTTGTCTTTATTTGGGTGAAAAAAAAAAAATTCCATTTATCTTGAATACAAGTCGAAATATTTGCGAGAGAATGAGGTGGGGGTCACCTGTCTTCAGAGGTAAAA